CAACACATTCCACACTCTCATGCGGAAGGATTTTCTGAAAACACAAGGCTGATCCTGTTACACTTTTGTTTGCAATTCTTTAATTACACATGTCATGCTGCGGTGCATTGTGGTTATGTATGCATATGTCATACCTCCCTCAATAAACTGTAACGTCATGGGAAAGCCCAAACTATTTTACCTATATTAAACAATCTTCACTCATTCACTCAAAAAATAGGTAATACATATGTGTTACATACCAAGCACTACACTAGCCCCTAGAGATGAGTCAGGTCCTTCCCTTCAATTTGTTTACAATCATGTGTGTATTGTAACTCATGATGTTATTTACATATTATAATATAATTGCAACATAGAATATATTATGATTGCATAGGCACCGATTAACATAGGATCATAGAAAGGTTCCTACTAAATGCTTGAGCAGATCAAGAAAGGCTTCTCAGAAGCAGTAACGTCTACACCGATACCTGAAGCATCAGCAGATATATAGGGAGAGTGAGGAACTAAGGGAGATCCATTAAGATGAGAATAGCGGCAAAGGACAAGCCTTGAGAAATACACAGGAACCAGATCATAAAAGGGGTTAAGCCACATTAAAGTGTTTGAAGTTTATCTTGAAGGAATTTAATTGTTTTAGTAAGATGAGTGATATGATCAGATTTCTACTTTAAAAATGACCACCCTAATTAAAGTATAGTAGTCATTCAAGACATCTGTTAAACACATGAAGAGTTAAATGTAATTAGCATAAAAAAAAACTATTTCAGGAATTCAAAAAAGAGAGAAATCAGTGAATCAGTGCTGGCTGTGATGCCCCAGAGAGGTTTTATGGAGGAGTTCAGCTAGGCTTTTAAGAACATATGATTTTGATAGGGTAATTCAAGGAAAAGAAGGACTTCCTAGTTGGAAACAGGAAGGGTACAAGGAAGATAATTAGCTAGGAAGTGGCTGTGCAAAAGTTTCAGGTGAATTCACAGAAGAGTAACTAGTTTAGTTAAGTGAGTGCCAGGTCTGGAGAGGTAGGATGACATCTCAGGGCCAACCTAGAGGCACAGGGCCTTGAATGCCAGGCTCAGGATTTAAACTTCACCAGCAAAGAGAAGGCTCATGGCTGAGTTTTAAAAGGAGAGATGCATACTCCAAGTGTTGCATTAGGAAGATTGTATACGAATTGGAAGAGGTTTAAAAACAAAGTTCAGGGGGGGGCATCTGGGTGGTTCAGTGGGTTAAGCATCTGACTCTTGATTTCGTCTCAGGTCATGATCTCGAAGTTTGCAGAATCTAACCACTGCTAGGAATGAAGCCTGCTTGGGATTCTCTCCCCCTCACTCTCTGTCCCCCCTCTCCCCCCGCTTGCATGCTGGAGCTTGCCCTCTCTCTCTCAAAATAAATAAATAAACATCTAAAATAAAAAACAAGGGGCTTCTGGATGGCTCAGTCTGTTAAGCGTCTGATTTCCGCTCTGGTTATGATCTCGTAGTTCATGAATTCGAGCCCCGCATGGGGCTCTGTGCTAACAGCTCGGAGCCTGCAGCCTGCTTCAGATTCTGTGTCTCCCTCTCTCTCTGCCCCTCCCCTGCTCATACTCTGTCTCTCTCTCTTCCTCAAAAATAAATAAAACATTAAAAAATATTTTTTTAAATACAAAAACAAACAAGGTTCAGGCAACTAGGTGTAGGAATGTGAAAGGAAAAATAAAAGTGGGAGTTTTCTGTGAGGAAAAAAACAAAAAGTTAAGAGAGAGAAGTAAAACATAAGGTTGAGTGATGGATGAAACAAGTTCACCTCACATGCCAAAGTCCCACACCCACTCCCTCATTTCCAACACTCCTACTATCCCTCCCTGGGTGACTGATTTATCTGAAAAGAGTCATTTCCTGAAGCTTAGTGTTATCATTTGGAGGATGAGAGTCTTCCTTTTTATCATGCTGTTTAGGTAGTATCTACAGCTAAGAACTAGGAGGTGAGGTTTTTTTGAAGAGAAAATTAAAAGAAAAGAACACCTGGAGAATGAGAGTGAACACTGGAACAAAGAAAAGGTCCCACTAAGGCCATTCTTAAATCCCCTAAATCAAATCACCCAGGATATTCATTCAGTTAGGGTGCCCCTGCTTTTTTTGGGGGGGGGATAGTTTTGTGTACTTTGTTTTTTTTGAGAGAGAAAGTGAGAGAGAGTGGAGGAAGGGTAGAAGGGAGAGGAAGAGAGAGAGAAAGAGAAGAGAGAGAAAATCCCAAGCAGGCTCCACACCCTGCATGGGGCCAGATATGGGGCTGGATCTCACCAACTGTGAGATCATGACCTGAGCCGAAATCAAGAGTCAGACACTTAACCGACTAAGCCACCCAGGCGCCCCTTGGGGTGCCCTTGTTTATTGTAGGAACTCCCCGAGATAGATCAGACTTACACCCAGTCATGGCGCCCCAGAGACTCATTCATGTCCCAGGTCCCTCCCCTCGCTGTCTGGGTTGCCTATTCCACCTGCTCTTTATACCCCCCGTAACCATAAGCAGCAGAAGGAGAAACTCAATTGTTCCATTGTCTCCAGTTTAAACTCAGATCACTTTGGTCTCCCAAAGCAACAACTTAATTTAATAGTCCTTAAGGATGTGGGAAAAAATATTAGAAAACCTTCCAAAATTGTCTATCCAACCTCCAGCATACAGTAGTCTATGACTTGAGAAAAGCCTACCTAAGAAACATCACAGCCCCCATCCAAAGAGCAAAGCCATTTGTAAATAAATCTCTTAGAAGACTGAATAAATCCCTGGCTCATCAAAATAAATTCTATTTTCTCAGCCTTTTTCAAAGTCAGAAAGTCAAGCTTCTCACAACAGGTTCATGTATTATTTATTCTACTTCATTGTAGGTGAGGAAACTGAAGATACATTCTTTAAGACAGAGATATTAATGGCTCTAACTTTTGTTCCAGACTGGATGGTGTCCTGCTAGAATGGATATGAATGCCAGCAGATTAACAGATTCTCAGGAATGGCATTTCATCTGTCACCATTTAACGGATGACTATTGTTTTCTTTAGGACTTTTTAGAACATCAAGTTGATGTGTGTTAGGCCTGACTACATGATAAACCTTCCTCAGCTTCCCTTTGTTTCCAAAGTAATTACGGGCTTCTTCATGTCTCTTTTTGATGCCCACGAAGGCCATAATGAAGGTAGTTAAATATGCAAACATGGAAACAAGAAACAAGGTGTCAATGTACATATAATTTACTTATTGAGGCATCCGACTTACTCATAAACTGGGATCATACTGCTAATAAAGTTAACTGATTTTCCTAAATAATCCAGGCATATTCTCCAGTGTCTTTGCCAACAGATGGCTCAGGGGTCTTTTGTCACTTTATAATTCATCTACACCTCCAGACACTACAAGATAAGGAGATAATTTAAATCAAAACAATGTGTGGGCCACAGATATGCAGCTGCAAGTGAAATCCTGAAGCTTCTTTCTAAGCATATGACCCACCACTCCTACTCCTACCTAGAAATACTTTAGTCAGCTGTTTCCCCTAATTGAAAAGAAGAGACTGCAACTAGACAAAAAGTACTGAGGAAGGTGTTTGCTTTATTTTCTGAAATATCTATATACTATGGAGGCATTTCAGTTTTCTAACATGTAAGTTCTCAGACACTAAACCAAATGTAATGTCATGCCAGAAATGAAACTATATACAGTTTACTAAAGAACATAGGTAAACGGACCACAAAACGCTTCATGGTCAAAGGCAGGCCGCCCTCTGATACCCCATGGCACCAGAAAGTTCTACTTCTTGAATATTGTGTGTTTTAATTGAGGTAAGATATATCTAATAAAAAAGAATGCAAACCTACCTATAGTGGTATTAGCAAGGATTTTACTTGATTAAAGTTTCCCTATCTGACATCCAAGATTAGATACATTGGAAAATGCTAAATTCCCAAGAGTGGAGAATACATAGTATGCAGTATTTCCTAAACATCTCAGAACACAAAAACTTTTTGTAACACAAACTAACACTGCCCATAAGTGACAAACACTATGCAAAATACTGCACACTGCTATTAATCCTCAGTTGTTAGTGGAACAAGAGCAGAAGGGGGAAAAAAATCAAGGCACTGAGTTAACTGAATTTTTAGAAGTGGGGAGGAGTTTGGGGAGGATGCTAAAAGCACCCTTTGCCTACCTCACGGTTTTAAGAAATAATCATAGAATATTTATCATGGAAGTGACTAGGAATCTACAACAGCATCCTTTTTGAAATTTACTGATAGGTATGATCTTAAAATTCTCCTAGGTAGCTCATAGCTGTCCTTAAATCGAAGACATTACCAAATGCCTAGCTAATACTGTATATGTACTAAGAAATATATATATTTTTTATTTTGAACGAATATTAGAATCAAACGCTTGACCTGACAAATGACTGAAAACTAAGACTCAATCCAGTTCCGGCACCAACTGGGTATACGATCTTGGTCAAGCCCTCATTGGTTTCCCTATCTCTGTACAACAGACCCTTCAGCTCTGGAGGCCTCATGAAACCTACATAGGAAAGACAACTACAAAGTGTCTTGTCAGCAGTTCTTAGCTGTTAGATGAGGGTGCACCAAGCAACTGTTAATGAGGGTGCCAGGTGAGCCACTATCTTTGCTGGGAAGACTTAAGTACGCCGTTCCAATCTAAAAAGCATCTCATAAAGGTGCTTCCCGCCCTCGACTACTTCATAAACTTTTCTATAAAATGTTATGACCACAAGCGTCTGACCTCGCAGCTCATCAGGCGTAAAACTGCAATTTCTGGCTCCCTCAACAACACCAGCCCTTTAACCCTGGTTCGAGAAGCCCAGTGGGGTGAAAATTAAGTGCCGCCAATCAGATACCGCCCCGCACTTGAAAAATGCCCCGAAAGTCTTCCTCCCTCGCTCTTCCCAAATAAATAGCGTTCCTACACAAATGGAAGTCCATGGGTGTCCGCGGACACTGCAAGGGCCGTACCTGATTGAAGTGCAGCTGCCCGGGCTCCGCGACACCTTCCGCGGGGGCGGCTCCCAGCTGTTCCAGCAGGCGCGCGAGCTGCGCCGCCGACAGGCTGCGATTCGCGCCGAACAGGCTCAGTACATCCTCGCTGAAGGCGAGCCCGGGCCCCGCCGCCGTCCCTCCGATGCCCGCGGCCGCCAGCAGCAGGAGCCCAGCCACCGCCCGGCCCGGGGCCATCCTGGCCGGGGCTGCCTTTCGAGGGCCTGAAACGGGCTGGAGCGCACGGGGACGCGCTGGGCGCACCTGCGCGGGTGCCCAAGAGCCCGCGCGCGATTCAGTTGTCTGCGCGGGTCCGAGTCAGCCGTGACGCGGGCGCCCCTGGTCCTCCGCCGCCTTGGGAAGAGCCGCAGCCCGCGACCTGCGGGGCATTGAAGTGGCAGTGCAGCCGGGGGGCGGGGAGCGATAGGCACAGCGGGCCCCCGGGCCTCCTGGAGAGCCTAAGATAAAGAGGACAAAAGGGGACAGAGATAAAGGCCAGCGGGCCACCGCCGGCCAGCCCCGGGAGCACTGCGTGGCCCGAGCCCTCGAAGGCCCGGCCGGGCGTGGGGCCAACTGCCCCGGAGCCGGGTTTGCAAATGTCCCAGGATTTGCATAGTGTGGTGACACGCTCCTCCCGGATATAAAGCCCCAAACCAAGCAATTGCTTAGGAAGAACTAAAACCACTCGCACGGTAGAACCCCACCTCCTCTTCCTGTCTTGCTGCTAAATTCCCGTAGAGGAAACTTGGAAGGGGTGAGACGGGCAGTCCCCAAGGAGCTGCAGGAAACCGCCCCTTCGAAGTCCTGGGCTTTGCGTCTAAACGGGACCCTCCCTCTCCCAGATCTCTTCTCTGGGCTTGGCAAACTAGCCTGCTAACCTCTCACCTCGCCTGTCTGTTTCTGTATCTGCGTCTCTGTGTGTGTCCACGTGAGTCTCAGTCTCTTTCTTTCTTTCTCTCTCAACACTGTCTCTGGCTAGTCAGCTCTGAAACTCCGAGATCGGCCCTGCGCCCTTTACAGACAGATAAGAGGCGGGCCCTGTCCCCTCCTCTCTAGCACGTGGTGACACACACACACCCTCCCCTAGCCTGAACTCCCGCGCTCGTCCACGCCGGGGCGCAGGGCCGCTGGCCTTTCCTCTTCGTGTGCACTGCGCATTCCTCTTCCGACCCGGCTCCCCACCCGCACCCTGGGGGGTTACCTGAATGCCACGTCCCTGTCGGCGTCCCCAGCCTCCTTTCTGGTCTCGGTGATCTGTTACCTTGATGAAACCGACTTCCTGGAATAGAGTCAAGAGCCCCATGCATTGTCTAAGAGGTTAGCAGGAATTGCTTTTTTGTCTCACTTCGTAAACTCCGGAGGAAAAAAGGAAACCAAATCTCCAGCGTGGTGGCAGGCTAACTGAGCTTGCACTGCCCAAGCCGGCCCTTCCTGACGCCGCACAGGATATCCGCAGATCAGAATGAATGTTTGTTTGTTCAAATGAGGGTTCAAGAAAAGCTGACTTAGGTGTGAGGTCAACAAGTTTGTGCAAAGTGAAGGCGGTGTTTGGGGACAAAGGTTGTGTCTGGTGGATATAACTGTCCAGAAATAAAGTAAACCTTGATTCCCTGCTACATGGCTAAGTACAATAGGAAGAATTCATAGTGTTCTTGCCTTTCACCGGGGGAGTGCACAGCCTCTTAAATCAGATCTTAGGAGACCCTAAGGGCAGAAAAAGGCAAGGAGATGAGGAATGGGACAAAATCTCCTCTCCCATGAGAAACTTAGATGTGAATGAGAAAAACAGAGACACAGAAAATTCCAGAAGGATGAGGATTTGGGTGGACATAACTGAAGAGCTATCATATGGAAAATGTTTAACTGTATTCTAACTACAGAGAGCAGAAGGCAGCAGTAACAGGGCAAAATTACCAGGAGGACGGTTTCTGTGAAATATAAAGCACAAATGCTTGGGGGGTAGTGATTGCTCCACAATTGAAGGTGTTTCAAACGCACAGGTGAGTGGTAGACAGATTCCTGCCTCAGAGGAATATCAGCAAAATGATCCTGATGCTGTGTCCCTTTCCATTATAAAAATCTAACATTTGTTAGTAATAATTTGTGAAATTACAGAAGGGCAAATATTTCACCCAAGGGCCAGAAGTAAATTCATCATAGTTAAGCTCTTAAATTACACAGATGATGGGATTCTTCAAGATTTTTATCAGGTTCTTAAAAAAAAAAAAAAAGTTTATTTATTCAGAGAAAGAGTGGGGAGGGCCAGAGAGAGAGAAAGAGAGAATCTCAAGGAGGGTCCTCACTCTCAGCATGAAGCCTTATGTGGGGCTCAAACTCACAAGCCCACGACCTAAGCCACAATCAAGGGTCAGAGGCTTAACTGACTGAGCCACTCGGGTGCTCAATTTTTATTGGGTTCTTAAGTGTGGTTTGCTACCTATTGTTCCCTTTGGCCTCAATGACTCAAGGTGATTCTTAGAAATTAATGAATGCTCTAGATCGTTTATCCACACCCAAGTTGTTCATTCCCAGCTTGAACTGCAACATTGATGAGATGTTGGATTTTCCATAAATATAAATGGGCTTTAAGTAACATAAAATTTAGGGGTGCCTGAGTGGCTCAGTTGGTTAAGCGTCCAACCCTTGATTTCAAGTCAGGTCATGATCCCAAGGTCGTGGGATCAAACCCCAGGTGGGCTCTATGCTAAGCATGAGGCCTGCTTAAGATTCTCTCTCCTTTTCCTTCAGCCCCTCCCCTACTTACACATGCACATTCTCTCTCTCTCTCTCTCTCTCTCTCTCTCTCTCTTTCTCTCTCTCTAAAATAATAATAATACAAATTTTGTATTATGGATTTTTAAATGAAATTTTTGTATTAGTCATTCATGTCTCTGTACATATATTTTACCTACCCATCAACCCCAAAAGACAACAAATTAAAAAAATAATAATCAACTTGCTTGACAACTTTACCAAATACAGCTAACATAATTTAGGCATGCAATTAAGACAGGACATTCAGAAAATTACGAGTTACTAACTACCAAATTGGTAAGGCTAATTTCTAGATTTTCCACTCTAATGAAACATAATCACCAAAGTACTACTCAGATAATGTTTTAGGGACCAAAATGTGACATTGTGTCAGCCATATCATTACTGAAAAAAGGACTTCCAGTTTAAAATATAAAATGGAATGCTATAAACTATAATTTCTTTCAGAAATTTGCCTTAAAGTTTAAATAATTTTAAATGATAATGTTTAGGGGAGAATGCCGGGAACACCAGCCAGGATCTTGAACGATGCTTTCTCTTCCAGACAATGTCACCTGAGAAACTTGGTGATAGGTTCAATTCCCTCATCTATGAAACAAGAAAGTTAGGACAGAAGAACAAGTATCCATTCCAGCCTTATTTATAAATGTCTAATTTAGGAGTCATCTATCAGAACAAAACATGAAACACCTATAAGAGAAATACAAGTTCAATTCTCCAGTGGAAACGATATTTAAAGTCAAGTCTTGGGGCGCCTGGGTGGCGCAGTCGGTTAAGCATCCGACTTCAGCCAGGTCACGATCTCGCGGTCCGTGAGTTCGAGCCCCGCGTCGGGCTCTGGGCTGATGGCTCAGAGCCTGGAGCCTGTTTCCGATTCTGTGTCTCCCTCTCTCTCTGCCCCTCCCCCGTTCATGCTCTGTCTCTCTCTGTCCCAAATATAAATAAACGTTGAAAAAAAAAAAATTAAAGTCAAGTCTTACTTTTTCTAATAGCTTCAAATTTTTCTCAGTCCACGTCTTTTGTTACCTTTGCAAATAAGGAGCAAATGGGCATCTTTTAAACTTTCTCATGCATTCATTTCCCCGCGGAAGGACAAATAAGCAAATTGAAGCGATAGCACAACCCTTTCCCTTCTTCCCCTTCCCTTCTCTTCTGCTCCCTCCAGTCTTAAAGCCATGAGGTGGAGCATAGCATGGTAAATAGTACCTGTGTGGAGGGCAGTCACAGTGGCCCAGAGAGGGGTGTTGGAACCTGAACAAGAGAAGGATATCCAACAAGGAGGGAAACTTAGTGTGAGCAGTTAGAGCCCATGCAGGCTGACACACGTATCCAGATGGTGAAGGGAACGTGGAAAATCAGAAGATGCATCCCTAATGGGGCAAGAATATGTGCATGCACCCCAGCACAGAATGTCAGCACCCAGGTATGATGAGGCGGGCATTCGTCCCAGCACAGTTTGTCAGAGCCCAGTCTAGAAGACTGAGTGCATCCATGGTGGCTTAGTGTGGTGTCTCAGAGCCAGAGCAAAGACAGGAGGGAATACACGGGTTGAGGGACAGAGAGGCAGCTGAGTGTGGAGAGTCAGAGTCTGGATGGGTGATAAAGTCATCTGTGCTTGATGGTGAGGAGAGAAACCCTGCTGAACAGTAGCGTTAGGTACCAGACTCTGTGGTGAGCAGAGAGCTGCCTCACGTGGCACGTGTGATAACGATTTTTTTTTATTCTCCCAGTTAGCTAACATACAGTGTAGTCTTGGCTTCAAGACTAGATTGATAGTGTCATTTAAAATAAGAAATATGTTCTTGGTCTTCATTGCCGTTTCTGGCACACAGCTCCTAAAACCTTGGAATTTCCTAAGTTATGAGAGTGACAAAGGTGTCTCTTGTTATGTTATTGAGGTGACTTTTGGACCCCCACCAGAGGATGGGGGCTGTTTGCCAGGAGTATCAACCATGTGATTAGAAGACTACAACTTTCCATCCCATTCCCCTGACCCCTAGGGTCAGGGACATTGACTCAATCACCAAAAACCAATGATTTAATCAACCATACCCATGTAATGAAGTTTCCATAAAAACCCAAAAGGACAGGGGCATCTGGGGGTCTTAGTTGGTTGAGATCCAACTTTGACTCAGGTTCTGATCTCACAGTTCGTGAGTTTGAGCCCCGCATTGAGCTCACTGCTGTCAGCATGGAGCCCACTTCAGATTCTCTGTCTCCCTCTCTCTCTGCCCTTCCCTTCTCATTCTCCCACTCTCAAAAATAAAAAATAAACATAAAAGAACAACAACAACCAAAAGGACTAAGTTTAGAGAGCTTCTGGGTTGGTGAATTCATGGAGATTGATGGAAAGTAGAGACAGACTGCCCCTGGAGAAGGTGTGGAGGCTCCAGTCCTTTTTCTCATAACTTGTCCTGTGCACC